AGACAAGGCAGTATCTGAGATGAGTCTTGAAGGATTAGTAGAATTTTAATAGGCAGAGATAGGAGGTGAGGTATTCTAGCTATAGGGTGAATAAAGGCATGGAGGTGGGAAAGTGTTGGTTGAGATATAGAATTATTGAAGGAAGGATAGAAGAGTACAGGAGGCTGGGGGACAAGCTTGAATAATACCAGGCTAAGCAGTTTGGACTTTATTCAGTAGGCAACAGAGAATCACTGAAAGATTTTGAGAATCGTGACACAAACCTTATCTTAATGTAAGAAAGGCTAATCTGGCAGCAATGTCAGAGATAGAGTGGAGACTACAGAGACTGGTGGTGACAAGATGGGTTAGGGGATTGTAATAGTCAAGACAGTTTCCACCAAAAACTCCTTTTTTACAAGTCTATAACACTATTCTTTTAATAAAACTAAGGCTAAAAGTTCATTTTGTGGCATGTGAATTATTTTCATCTTAGATATAATTTGATTCTTTATTCTGACATAATTACCAAAAATTACATACAGCTTTCCAGAAACTGCCCCTTGTATAAATGGATCTATGACTTACTAATAATTGACAGAACTCTAGCTGACAGGTTTATCTCAGTCTATACTTCCAAACCAATTGATGTCACCCACATATAAACAGCAGTACTTAATGGAGGCAGCTAGGTGGCTCAGTGGATAGATCAGTGGGCGTGGAGTCAGGAAGACCTGAGTTGAAATCTGTCTTCACACACTTACTAGCTGTGTGATCCTGGACAAGTCACTTAATCTCTGTTTGCCTTAATCCACTGGAGAAGGAAGTGGCAAACCAATCCAGTATCTTGGCCAAAAAAACCCCAGGGACAATATTGGCATGCTATGGTCCATGGCATGGTCATTAAAGAATTGGACATGACTGAACAACTGAAAAACAACAGTTTAATGTAGGCAACAATGTGTGTGTGTACAATGCACCTACAAAACAAACAAACAAACAAACAAAACTTCAGCCAGAAAGAATGATGCAAACCTTCCTTTTATGGTACAGCAACTGAATAAGGATGCCAAGAAGATTTCAAGGAATTACTAGGATACAGAAGGATTGGTGATTTCATCAACATGAGGAGCTCCCAGCATGAGAATTCCTTCCACCAAGACCTATGACTTGGTGAACATGTCCTATGGAGTTGCCTAAGGTACACAGAGGTTAAGTGACTTGTTGAAGGTCACCCAAATATTAAGTGTGAGTGGCACAAATTGAGCCTGAGCCTGGAGTCAGGAAGACCTGAGTTCAAATACAGCTTCAGATGCTAACTGTGTGACCCTGGGCAAGTCACTTAACCCTGCTTGCCTTAGTTTCTTCCTCTATAAAATGAGCTGGAGAAGGAAATGGCAAACCATTCCAGTATCTTTGCCAAGAAAACAAAGAGGTCACAGAGAGTCAGACACAACTGAAATGACTGAACAACAACAAAATTGCCTGACTCCCAACCCACCAGTCTATACACTCTCACAAACTGCCTCTCATAAACAGTTAGCTGACGGAAACAGAGGGTAGAGACTATGTCCTATTTGTCTTTACATTTCTCAAAGACCCTAACACAGTGCTTTGTGCAGGGTAAGTACTTAGTAGATACAGAATTTCCCATTAAATCCCTCTCCTTTATCCTTCTCACTTTGGATTGCTGGCTGCTACTATGATTGGAATAATCATGAAATTCTAAATGAAAATATCTTTCTCACAGTGAAGAAATGCACAGAAATCAGCCCCCAATGATGCAGATGTTTCCTGAAGCTACTGCTGATGATTTCCTGAATGTCTGCCACACAAACCACAGCAAGCTCTTTGAGAGGATCGAGCTGCTCCTCACTCCCCAAACTCAGTTTACATGCATTTGCTTTAAAAAAAAAGTAGCTGCTACTGCAGCTGTTACAGTTGTCAAACCATTGTAATTCTTTCTTTCACTACAGAGCCAAAATGTGAAATTCAGACATTTCTCTTAGGAAGCAAATCCACAAAAGGAGAATTCCTACTTGTGCATCCAAAACTCAAACAGGGCATTTATGAACTCCAGGCAAGATTTTAGTGATTACTCACCTAGAACCTTTACTAGAAAATATATGACTTGACTTACTGAAAATCAAACACTTCTCAGCCATGAAAAGCAGAATTTCCTGGCATTGAAATATGTACATATATAAAAAGGAGTATTAAAAAGTGTCCCTTATGCCCAAGGCTCCATGTTGTTCCTTACCTTCCCTATACCTAGTCAGATCATTGATTACATAATATGTTTCCCTCATCATACAAAAAAATCTAAAGCAGGTACCATTTTCATCCTTTGACTTCTTCAATCCCTATAGATATGATTAAATCCTGTTACCAAATGACTTTCTAGGTCACAAATTTAGATATATAACAGATCAAATCATACACCACACAAGTCTCATAATGCACATTGCTCCCACTGTGAAACAAGTCTGAAACAACTACCATCCTTTCACCCATCCACTTCCTTAATTCTTCAAAAGCTGCATGATTTCACTAGAGCAGATGCTCCCTCCACCAACACAAACCACAGTCCCTCACTGCCTTAGAGCACAGTTTCACGAGTTGCTACCACCAAGAGAAAAACGTACCACTTGCTGACCAGCGCTCTGCTGATGAGCCCGATCCTGGGCTGGTCCTCAGGTAACGCACAACGGAATCTACCATTGGGTCCAGCCTTCTCAGCTCAGCATATTTACACACTGCAGCCTCCTGGCAGAACGTAAGCTCATTGAAAGCAGGGTCTCTTTTTCATTTTGTCCTTGTATCCCTAGCACTGAGCACAGTGCTGGGCACCTAACAAGATACTTGTGGAATTGGATTGGTTGGATTGACCAGTTTGTGCTCTGCTGGTGCAGCCTCTGATGATCCATGACTATTTCGATGCCAGGATGAGGTATAAGATGAATACATTAGTGGACTTTGGTCCCCCTTCAAGAGGCAGTATGGCGAAATGGATAGGGAGTTGGCCTCAAAGTCAGGAAGATCTGGGTTCAATTCCCTTCTCTGTCATATCCTGGCTGTGTGAACCTGGGCAAATTACTTAACCTCTCAGTGTTCTAGAAGACTCTCTAACATGATAAGTTTCACAAAGGCGCCAACCTACATAGGGACAAGAGGTTTCCTCATCCAGGTTTTCAGACTGATAAAACCAAAAATCCAGCCCTTAGCCCTTGTTTCCTGTCTTTGGAGATAGAAGATCTGGGTTCAGATATCACCTTTGATAACATCTGTGTAAGCTGGGGGCAATCCACTTACTCTCCCTGAGCCTCAACTTCCTCATCAGTAAAATGAAGGTACTGGACTAGATGACTTCTGAAGCCCCTCCCAGTTTTAGATTTATTATCCTCTGAGCATACATTTGGGCTTGCTAAAGACAAACTCAGGAGAGGTGTAAGTCCCATCTATTAAACCTTCATTTACATAAACCTACTACTGCAGCATTATTACTATATTATGAGAAAGTTAATTTTCGTGCCAACCGAGGCAAACAGGGTTAAGTGACTTGCCCAGGGTCACACAGTTAGTGTCCGAGGCTGCATTTGAACAGGTCTTCCTGGCTCCAGGCCCAGGGTCAACCTGTGCCACTCACACTTAATATCTGGGTGGCTCTGAATAAGTCATTTAACCTTTGTGTGGCTTAGGCAACTCCATAGGACATATTTACCAAGTGATAGGTATTGGTAGAGGGAATTGTTATGCTGGGAGCTCCCTATGTTGATGAAATTAAAGATAGTTTAATTTTGGAAACGTAAAAGAGGGGAGGAATGGGAAAGGAAGGGAGAAGGAGAAAGAGGGGAAGGAAAGAAAAAGAAAGAAAGGAATGAAGGAAGAGAGAAAGGAAGGGAGGGAGAAAGGAAGGAAGGGAGAAAGAAAGAGAAAGAAATAAAGGAAGGAAGAAAAGAGGAAGGAAAGGAAAGAAAGAAGAAGAGATGGAAAGAAGAAAGGGAGAAAGAAGTTCCTGTCTTCTTCTGCATTCTGCTACTTTCAATTAGTCAGGCCAACCCAGGCTGATAATTACGTTCCCAAGTTGCTGAGTAAAACTGATGCTTAATTAGCCAGCAGGAAAGATCGATTAAGATACAGCAGGGCATCTTGCAAGGTTCTTTAGCATGACTGTGGGGAATAGGATCTGGCTCTGGGCCTTCCAGAGGAGAAAACTCTCTGCTGCTGCTCAGGGACTTGACTGGAGCTCTTAAAGAAGATATACAGCTATCAGCCTCTCAAGTCTTTATGCACCCCCTCCCCACCTTCTAAAGACAGAGCTAATTGGCACTCAATATAAAAATTCCAGATCATGAATACCACCAGATTGGAAAAGGCCAAAGTAAGCTTTCATGCCTCACTCCCCTCACCCAATGACCCCATTCCAGGCAGAAGGGGGCAGGGAAATAGGCTGTGAAGGAAGATCTTACATTCCTTCATGCTTCCTTTTTCCTCCCTGCCCCCTATCCATAGTAGATGTATGCACCTGTTAGATGCACTTGTTATAAAATGCACATCTTCAAATATAGGTCAGAATATCTTATGGAAAAACCTCTTGGTTAAGCATAATATTCCAACACAGTCTTAGGATGGATTATTCCATGTGTTCAAAAGAGTCACATGTGCAAAGTTTGATATGAAATCCCTTCTACTGGGGAAGGAGATAAAGAAATAGACCACGGGTTGAGAAGACAAAGCAAAGGGTCTCTGCCTACTATCAAGTACACTTTTTCCTGAAGATATATGGATCAACATAATTTTAATCCTTGCCAACTTTTTTAGTTAAATGGAAAGATCTTTAATAAAGGTCAATGGAGTCATCAGAGGCTCAAAAGAGGCCTTCTAATTACCTTAGGCTACACAGATAATTAACTGTATCTTCATACTTTCTCTTACTACATTTATCAAATGTCTACCGCAGTAGATTATACTTCATCTGAAATATTAAGTAACAATTGTAATAATAATGGGTTTAGACAAACCTGGCTTTGATCTGCTGGAAGCCCCGTAAAATTGCATCTCTGCTCTCCCATGCACTGGTACTAAGGTTCTCATTCTGCAAACCTTCCACCAGGTAATCTTCCACATCTAGAAAGAAATAAAAATGCCTCAAAAAGAAAGAAGAGGAATTGAAGGGGGAAAGAGGAAAGACTACCAAGGGGGTTCAGGGATGGCCATTATTTCCCTATTAAAAAAATTAAAAAGTGCATACAAGGTAATTCGTGTCAGTCTAGGACCCTGTCAGCCTAGAAAGCTAAGGCTCATGTCAGCCACAAAGCAGACCCTTTTTTCTAAATAAATTATATTTTAATATTAAACATGATCATGGATGGCAGAAGGAATAGATTGTCAAATTTCATAAACACATAAATGTTACAAACTAGTCACAGAAATTGACAGGCCAGCAGGAAACCATGAGGAAATCTTAAGAAACACCACTGAATTAAAACCAGAAATACAAAACCAAGCACCCAAAAAAGCAGGCATTCAAAGAAAACAAATTTATTAAGAGATATAATAATATCAATCAGATTACACAATGCAATGGAGTGAGAGACCACACATGCAATAAAGAAAGGAGGATTGACAAAGAAAACTGCAGATGTGGCTCAAATATACATTATAAATCTGGGTCATGCTGGAAGGTACATATATAACACCAAATCACTTTATGTTAATCACAATAACACTTGGAACCCTAACTTTAAAGGCACATACTTCCCCTATTCTCCCCTAATATATACAATACAGAGGAAAATGACTGTACTGACAATTGGGAAAATTGCCAGAATTATCAGGTCCTTGACTTACTCTGAAAGAAAAGGAGACTCACATGTACTCAGAGTGTACCTCTGATTGGAATACAGTTTATTTTGAGAAAAAATCATGAATCCCAAATTGGCCAACTTCAAACACTTAGGTTGTAATAAAATAATAAAATGCTTCCTATCAAATATATTAGTTTACATAATAATAGCTAGCATTTATATAGCACTTTTAAGTTTACAAAGCACTTTACAAATATTATCTCATTTGTGTCCTCCCAACCAACCTGGGAAATAGATGCTATTATTGTTCCTATTTTATAGATGAGGAAACTGAAGTAAGTAAAGGTGAAATGACTTGTCCAGAGTCACACAGCTAGTCAGTGTCTGAGGCCATATTTGAACTCAAGTCTTCCTGAGTCCAGGTCCAGAGCTCTATCCACTAAGCCACATTGAGCTTACACTGAGACAGTTTCATAGTTTTGAAATCTTTTCTCAAACATTATTTTATTTGATCTTCCTAGATAGAATTAAAAAAGTAAGTTTTTTATCTACATTTGCAGATGAGGAAACAATCTCAGTGAGTGGAAAAGACTTGTCTAAGGTTACATGTAGCTAATAAGTAAGTGGGGGGATGCTTTTGGACAGGTACCACAGATAGAAAACCAACCAAACTCAGAACTGACTAGGAGAAAGAAAGTGAGCTGTAGTATAATTGGGAAACTGCATGGTGCTTTCAACATCCCAGGCTGCTCCCTGACACAAATCCCCATATTTTTAATGATGATATATTCTCCTGGTGATGCTTGTTGTTGTTGAATCATTTCAGTTGTGTCCAACTCTTCATGACCTTATTTGGAGTTTTCTTGGTGAGATACTACAATGATTTCTCATTTACAGTTCATTTTACAGATAAGTAAACTGAGGCAAATGGGTTTCAGTGACTTGCCCAGGGTCACACAGTGAGTCAGTGTTTGGGGTGGGATTTTGAACTCATGAGGATGAGTCTTCCTGATTTCAAGCCCAGTGTTCTATCTACTGCAACACCTACTTGCCCTTGAGCAGTGATGCTACCTAACTTCAAATCACAAAACAGAAAATTTCTAAAGAATTGAATGTGGACATGTGCTACAGCATATTGCCATAAAGGATACAGGAGCAAGAAATGGCATGAGAGATATTACCTAAGATATGTATAATCAGAAAGAGGAAGTAGATCAGTTGAGTGTCAAGAGTTAGGGATAACATACAGAATACCCAAGTGGAACTCAGAAACCCCTAACATGTTTAAAGTCCTAGTGGAAGACTTTCACTCTGTGGGGCAAATTTTTTGGAAGTTTATTGGAAGACAGACAAGAATTGTACCAAACAGAAAGGTATGGATGCATGTCCACCTGCACCACTGGAAGGATAAGATCATGAAGTCACTTGAAATATGTTGCCTTACATGCAGGTCCATCAGAGAATGTAGGCAGGGTAGCAAGATACCCGAGTTTAAACCCTGCTTCTGACACATACTAGCTGTGAAACTTCAAGTAAGTTAGTTAACCTGAGAGAGTCCCTAGACAATTTTCTAAGATTCTCGATTACAAAGAAATAACCAATCTGCATTAGTAAAGGGAGTTTCTCCCGAAGAGATAAAATCTAGCATCTGAATAATTAATGTCATAAGTCAATAGCAGGACATGGAAACTCCTAGAATCATCTCAAAGACTTAAGATAAAGTTCAGTCTCTGAAATGGAAAGTTTTGCAGATCAAACCTACAGAACACCACCAATGATCTGATCCCTTATTATATATGTCATCAATATTATTAACATAGTATCTGAGGTTCCTTTAGAGACACTATGGACAAAGTGAGGGTATTTTCCCCATCAATGAATGTGCTAGCCAAGAGTGAGGGGAAGGTCTAGAACCCTTTAAGTATCAAAGGCAGTTTAAAAATTTTTGTCATGATGTTTCACACTTTTAAATGGCTTCCTTGGAACTGGGAAAAAACACTTTCTTTCCATCAATCAATCAACCAAAGAGCATTTATTAAGCATCTAGCAGATGCCAGACATTTGAGAAATAAAGGCAAAAATGAAACAGTCCCTAGCATGCAGAAGCATATCAGAGAAGACAAGTTAACATGTAAGTATAGACAAAGTAAATACCAGATAATGGTGGGAGCGTTGGGGGATCACAGAATCATCTAAGTAGAGCTGCAAGGATTCTTTGAAGACATCTAATCCAACTTCCTCATTTTCTAGATGAAGAATTTCTGAAGCCCAAAGAGATTAAGTAACCAGCCCAGTGTCACATAGCTGCACGACTGAAAAATAATCACAGTATCTGTATAAGGATGATCCAGCCAGAAGTGATTTTTCTTCCAATAAACTCATGTAGCTTTGTTTTAATTCAACACACACTTACAAAGTACTAACTGTGCAAGCCACTGTGCTGAATGAATGACGTATTTATTAAACATTTACTATGTGCAAAGCACTAGGGATACAAACAGAAAATCAAGACAGTCCCTGCTCTCAAGGAGCTCACATACTAATGGAGGAGACAAGACATGTGGAAGGTTTCAGGTGCAAGCCAGATGGAAAAGTCCCATGCTCTTTGGTGAGCGATGACAAGATAAGTGTTAATGCCTCTTCTTTAGAGATGAATGCTGAAGACACCCTTATAGAATTTATACTTCCCCAGAGAGATGTGAAACACGTACACATAAGTATAATATTGGCAAGGTAAAAGGTGGGGGGGAGGGAGCACTGATCTGTACCTCATGCCTGTAGTTACTATAGTATATGCATAGGTTCTCAAAGTGGGCAATACCCCAGGAGGTGATGGAACAATCCAGGTGGGCAGTAGTAGGCTTGAGTGATGCAAATTTTAAAAAATCATTAAAGGGTTAAAGAAAGTAGATTTCCAGGGGGGCACTGAGTAATTTTTTTTGAAAAGGGGGCGGTAGGCCAAATAAGTTTGTGAATCTCTGGATAAAGTATGAAAGCTACAGACTCATAATCACTGAATTCCAGAGTTGGGAGGGAATTTTGACTATTACTTATTCCAGTTCTATACCCAATGGATGAATTTCCTCCCCATCCTTAAGAAGTGGTGATCCAGCCTCCAGCTGAATACTTTGCCTGAACTGAAACTCACCAACTGTTTCATTACGGGCAGCTCTAATTGTCAGGAAGTCCCTCCTCATACAGAGCCAAATTGTGCCTACCTTTAAACAGGGGTTCTTAACCTTTTTTTTTATTTGTCCTAGACACTTGTGGCTGTTTGATAAAGCCTATGCATCCCTTCTCAGAAAAATGTTTTTAAATGCATAAAATAAAATATATAGAATCACAAAGTAAACTTATTTGACTGAAATACAGTTATCAAAAATGTTTTTAAAAGAAAGTTCATGGATCCTTGGTCAAAAACCCTTGCCTTAAAACTTTCACCTATTGATTCTAGTTCTTCCTTTCTAAGGCTAAGCAATCCTCTTTTCTTGTGGCAATCCTTTAAAATCAATACAGACACCATCTTCCCCACTGGACCGCCATACCCATTGTCATCTTCTCTCTAGGCTTAACTAGTTCCTTTTACTGTTCTTTATATAATGTGGTTTTGAGTCCCTTTCTGCTCACCCTTCTTTAGATGCTCCAGCATGCCAATGCCCACCTTAGAATATGTCACTGAGAACTGAACTTCAGATATGGACTGACCAGAACAGAGTACAGCAGGATCATCATCTCTCTCATTAAGCCCATTTATACATTCTAGGAGCACATTAGCTTTTCCAGCTGCTGCATCACACTGCTGACATACTAAGTTTACAGCCCTCTCAAACCTAGACATTCTTTGTCCATGTTTTATGCCCCACAACCAAAAGCCAAGGCAAAGATTGTGCTTTATTCATCTCTGTGTAATCCTCTCAGCATTTAGGATTCAGAATTGTTGAAATACACATGATACACACTTGCCTCATAATAACAGGACTAAAAAGGTGACTTTCTGTTTCTTCCCCTATAAAATGAAAGAGTTCAACTAGATGGTCTCTAACGTCCCTTCCAACTTCGACCTACTATTTCCAAGGCCTTTCCAGGTCTAACATTCTAGGACCTCAGGTTCTTCCTAGCTCTGACATCCTGTGTTCTAAGCTCCCTTCTGGCTCTAGAATTCCAGGTTCTAAAGATTCCTTCTAGTCAGATCTAGTGTTTTAGGTCCCAAGCTTCCTTCCAGCTCTGAGAGTCTATGGTTCTTATAATTTTACAAAGATAACACCATATGAATTTACTCTGTTCTTTGGCTATATTTGGGAATGTACTACTAACACCGAA